CTACTAAGCTAAAAATATCAGAGCACCCAGAACAAAATTTTCATGTTATTTAAACAAACGTAAAAAAAATGACCCGAATCCATATATCGCCAAACGCTAACATGTTACTAATTTATATCACAACAATTAATTAAGATGTTAGAAAAATTGTGTTAAAGTGTTTTTAAGTGTTAAAACTAACACTTGATCTATTAAGATATCCAAAATTGAAACTAGTTTTATATATTTAGTAATTAACTACAGTTATATTTGAAGATTGATCGATTGATCGAACTGTTGACCTGGATATCGAAATTTGGTCGAAATTTTAAAAAAATGTAATAGAAAATAAATAGAAATATATATATATTTATATATATAATTATTAGTTATAGTCATACATACAAGGTCATAAATATAACATTTTTACATAATATTACTTTTCCTATCCACATTTTTGTTATTATTATTTTATATCGACATCTTTCTATTATTTTTTTCAGTTAATGCCTGTAACATTTATATACTTTTATTTTATTTTTATTTATCAAATTTAATATTTATGAATAGTTGAAACAAAATACAAATAAAAATTAATAACAATAATTTAATGTTTATAAAAAAAAACAGTAAAAAATTATATGTAAACATAACTCTGTACTCTAATATTTATTTTATTTTTGATACTAAAAAATACTAGTTTAATTTTTTTATTTTAACGATATTAATTTATAACTAAATTTTATTTTATTTTATAAATAAATAAAAATGTATTATCGTACACTGGACCAAAAATTATGAATAAAAAAAATAATTTTAAATTTTTTTTTCAAAATTTTCTTTTATAAATTGCCTTAGAATTTCTCTCCCTTTATCAATATAAATGCACGTGAGCAAGTCGAACTCCTGATAAGACTAAAAATCGTTGACAGAAAACTGATAAGACCCTCAAGAGACCCTTTCAATTACATATTGTTACATACACACACACACACATTTTTATTTATACAATCGATATCGATGTTTATATTCGATATAATGCACACTTTTATCTAACAGTTGAATAATAGTATAGTCCGAAGAAAAAGAAATTTTGTTCTAGAAACAGATGTTATTTTTTTTTGAAGATATGATAAAAGGATTTGTAAGGAGGAAGAATTGAAATTGTTTTTATAATAATTTTATATATACAAGATATTTGTGTACTTTTTTGTATGGATCAGAGTCTGGTAGTATGGATGGTGGACATTTTTCTAATTTTTTTTAAATAAGCTAAAAAATTTCCGGACATCATTTTTTAATTAGGTTAGCGGAAACTAGAGGAAATTTACTAAAATACTGTATAAACTATTTTACATGCCTCGGCACGAAATTTTTTGTGAAAAATGAAATTTGTGTAAATTGTCCTTAAGTAATAATCATTTTATATATGGATTCTGGACATTTTTTAGTTTTTTTTTTAAATAACTACAAAATGTTGTTCGGGACTTTCGATTTTTAATCAGTTTAGCGGAAACCAGATAAAATTTACTAAAATTTTGTATAAACTTTTTTATATACCCCAATTCAATTTTTTTTGTGAAAAATGAAACTAATGTTAACTTATTCTTATGTAATGAGTGATATATGAATTCGGGACAATTATTACGTTTTTTTAAATAACAAACAAAATTTGTTCCGGGCACTCTTTTTTTCTTTACCTCAGCAGAAACTAGATAAAATTTACTAAACAACTGTATAAACTGTTTTATATACCCCAATACAAACTTTATTGTATAAAAATCCAACTAATATTAGATTGTCAAATATCTCCCTTCCGCCTTTTTGTATTATAAACTAAGAGCAAAAAAGCGGAAGGGAGATATTTGACAACCTAATATGATTATTATATGGATTCGAGACATTTTTTTACGTTTGTTCAAATAACAATCAAAATTTGTCGGGCTTTCTTTTTTATTTAGTTTAGCAGAAACTAGATAAAATTCACTAAATTTCTGTATAAACAATTGTATATAATAACTAAAAATTTAAATAAAAATAATTGAAAGACTCACAACATAATTGCAAGACAACATTGTAATATGGTTTTTGTGATTTTTTCCCATAATTTATTTAATTTGTACCATCAACAATGTTTCAAATGATGATATAAGAATGAATTATATTAGCATCATATGATAGATAGACATATGATAGACTTTTTCCTTTATGTAATATATTATAGAACAAATAAATCAAACAAACAAACAAACTTAAATATTAATTATACATAAAATAGTCTATACAAAAAATTTCTTAATTTTATCTCTAATCAAATCAAATTAGCTTAGAAGAAACTAGAACAAAATAAAATTTACTAACATACAATATAAATCTCTACCAAAATTCTACATTTACTACAATATAATATTTATTAAAAATTTTGAAAATTACAAGTCAACCTCAGACAAGAAGTAATTAAAATAGGAGACTCTCGCACCATGAACTTGCCTTCGGGTGAAAATATTAAAAATCAAATAAAATTAAATTTAAAAAAATCTAATTATTTATAATAATTTATACTTTCTGAACACCTTTCCACCAACAATAAGTATCTAAAGTATCTAATGATAATAATAATAATAATAATTGTAACTCTGAAGTGTTTCTCCCATGGTCAATGCGCGTAACACCGACATTTGCGAGAAAGTGGAAAAGTTATACAATTTATGTGTTTAATAATCCAGAAATGTATGTGAAACACACTAAAACACACACATACACATACACACATATATATAATATTTTATAAAATTATTTGTGTCGATATTCGACCGCAAACAGAGTCACAAAAAATTAGAAACTGGATTTAGATTTTCCTTAATAGAAATTTTCTTCAATATAGTTTCCATATAAACTTTGTCATATTAATTTGAATTTTTTTATTAAATTCCACTTACACCTAGTTTTATTACTATTTATTACTATGTTAATTGACAGTTCAAAAAAATATTATTTAATTATGATCCGAATAGGCTTGGGAACAAATTTTATTTTATTTTTGGGAAATGATTTTGTTTAATTTTGCATAAAAGTCAAATTTATTTTTTTGGGTTTTGGTTGGGGGATTCGAAAATAATTTTCGGGGGGACTTGTTTTTTTTTAATATTTTACCAAGTTTTATTAAATTTGTGATTTACTACTAGGTTTGGGTATTGTTGAAATTTTATTCAGGATTATATTAAATTTTTGGTAAGTACTATTTAGTGTCAAAAATTTATTATAAGGATTATTGAGATTTTATTTGAATTTTTTCACAAAGAAGTTGTATAGGGGTATATAAATCAGTTTATGCAGAATTTAAGTGAATTTTATCTAGTTTCTGATAAGCTGAATAAAAAAGTGTGTCCGGAACAAAATTTTTAGGATAATTAAATAGTAAAAAAGCGTCCCGAATCCATATATTGCTCAATACATAAGGACGAGTTCATAGTAGCTTAATTTTTTTCAGAAAAAAATGTATAGGATTATATAAAACATTTTATACAAATATTTAGTAAATTTAGTTTTTGCTAGGCTAAATAAATTAGAGCGTCCAGAACAAAGTTTTCGTGATAATTAAAAAAATATACAAATGTCCTGATTATTTCATTCCAAATTAGTACAATGTATAAGACAGAGTTTAGCATCGTTTTATTTAAAATTTTCATATAGAAGTGTATAAGTTTGTTTATATAAAATTTTAGTAAATTTTATCTAGTTTCTGCTAAGCTAAATTAAAAAGAGTGCCGAGAACATTTTTTTTATTTTATATAACCATAAACAAACGTGAAAAAGTGTCCCGAATCCCATATGAGGCTCAATACATAAGGACAAAGTTCAACTGATCTTATTTTTTACACAAAAATTTGTTTCGAAACATTTAAAACAGTTTGTACAGAATTTTAGTAAATTTTATCTGGTTTCTGCTAAGCTAAATAAAAAAGTGTGTCCTGAACCAAATTTTCATGTTATTTAAAAAAAAACGTAAACAAATGTTCCCAATCTCATATATTGGCCCAATACATAAGGATGAAGTCACACTAGTTTCATTTTTTTGCACAAAAGTTTGTATCGACGCATATAAAACAGTTTATACTGATTCTTAGTAAATTTTATGTTGTTTCTGCTAAGTTAAATAAAAAGTAGTATCCTGAACAAAATTTTCATGTTATTTAAACAAAAGTAAAAAAGTGTTCCGAATCGCTCAATACATAAAGTCACACTAGTTTTATTTTTTTACACAAAAGTTTGCATCGGAGCATATAAAACAGTTTATACAGAATTTTAGTAAATTTTATTTAGTTTCTGCTAGGCTAAATAAAAAAATAATGTCCGGAACAAAATTTTGGTGTGATTTGAAAAAAATTGTCTTGAATTCATATAATGCTCAATACATAAGGACGAGTACATATTACTTTAAAAAAATTTTCAAAAAATTCGTATTGATGCATATAAAACAGTTTATGCAGAACTCTAGTAAATTTTATCTAGTATCTGCTAAGTTAAATAAATCAAAGTGTCCGGAACAAAATTTTTGTTTTATTCAAACAAACGTAAAAAAGTGTCCCGAATCCATAAGGACGATATCATACTAATTTCATTTTTTTGCACAAAACTTTGAGTCGGGGCATATACAACAGTTTGTACACGAATTTAGTAAATTTTATGTAGTCCAGAACAAAATGTTTGTGTTATTTAAAAAAACGTAAAAAATGTCCAGATTCCATATAACACTCTAATCCAAACTAATCTAATTTTTTTATACAAAAGTTTGTTTCGGGACATATAAAACAGTTTATACAGAATCTTAGTAAATTTTATGTAGTTTCTGCTAAACTAAAAAAATCAGTGTCCGAAACAAAATTTTTGTGTTATTCAAACAAACGTAAAAGTGTCCCGAATCCATACATAAGACCCAATTGACACTAGTTTCAATTAGATACCCAATGTTCTCACAACTAAACAATTTTCAGAAAATCGTCCAAATCTTCTTTATCACCATGATGGACACAGAATACGAGTTTGTCGAAAGAGATCCTGTACAAATTTACGTTTCGACATCCTTACGTCCTGAAACAACTACAGAACGAAAAATCTTCAAAAGTATGACTGTCAAGCAACTGAAAAACAGGCTCGAATTATTGACAGGAGCTGATCCTGACACCATGCACCTGGAATTGTACGACAGTCAGGTCGGTGACAATGTAAGAAAAATAATAAAAGACCCAGGTTCAGGTTATTTTGGAATACAGAAATGATTTTTATCCAGGGTAAACTTTTGGCGAATTTGGAGGAAGACGCTGCCAGTCTGAATGCCTATGATGTCAAAACTGGGTGCAGGTTGCACATTTTGGATGATTTTATGATTAAATCAAGGCCTGTACCTAGGTACAGCCTGACTTGGGAGGAATACGACCGCAAACCTGGTACTTTGAGAAGTTATATGAAAAGGAACAAGGTAAAGGATTAAATCACGAAAAACAATATAATAGCGTGAATCGCTATTAATTCAGATTGAATTTATTCAAAAATTTTGCATAATTCTATGTTAAACTGTTTATACAAAAATATTGGAAATTTTATCTAGTTTCTACTAAGTTAAATAGAAAAGAGTGTCCTCGAGCAAATTTTTTTAGGTATCCGGCAAAATGTACAAAAATGTCCCGGAACCTTGTATAGGAAACTTAGAACATTATATAAGGGCGTTGCCTTGGGTTTATTCAAAAAATTTATATAAGACTGTATTAAACAGTTTATACCAAAACTTAGTAAATTTTATGTAGTTTCTGATAAGGTAACTATAAAAGTAAGTCCTCGAACAATTTTTTTAGGTACTTATAAAAATGTACAAAAATATCTTGAAGCCTTGTATAGAAAGTTAGAACAATATATAAGAAAGGGTTTGCATTTCACTTATTCAAAAATTTTATATAGGAAAGTGTTAAAATGTCCATACAAAAACATTGGAAATTTTATCTAGTTTCTACTAAGGTAACTATAAAAGTAAGTCCTCGAACAAATTTTCGAGGTATACAACAAAATGTATAAAACGTCCGAAAACCTTGTATGAAAAACCCGGTAGAACAATATATAATAAGAAATATATATAAGAAAAAATATATATAAGAGCGAGTTTATCTTGGATTTATCCAAATTATAGGACTGTGTTAAACTGTTTACATAAAAACATAGTAAATTTTATCTAGTTTCTGCTAAGCTAACTAGAGAAATAAGTCGAACAAATTTTTGAGGTATACAGAAAAATGTACAAAAACGTTCCAAAAACTTGTATAGAAAAAACTTAGATTTATACAAAAAATTTATAAAAAACTATATCAAACTGTTCATACGAAAACGTAGTAAATTTCATCTAATTTTTGATAAGCTGAATAAAAAATAGTATACTGGACAAAATTTTTTGGTATTCAAAAAAGTGTCATAAAATGTTACGATACCTTGTACGAAAAACTTAGAACAATATATAAGGGTAAGTTCATCTTAGATTTATTTAAAAATTTTATATAAGACTATGATAAACAGTTTGCAGGAAAATGTTGTAAATTTTATATAGTTTCTACTAAGCTAACTATAAAAGTCCTCGTCCTTTGAGGTATACAAAAAGATTTTAAGAAATGTCCCGAAACCTTGTATAGAAAGTTAGACAAATAATATATAAAAGGCTTTGCCTTCGCTTTATTCAAAATTTTCATATAAGACTATAATATTGGAAATTTTATCTAGTTTCTACTAAACTAAGTATAAGAGTAAGTCCCCGAATAAATTTATGAGGTATACGGCAAAATGTATCACAACATCCCAAAACCTTATATGAAAAACCCGGTAGAACAATATTATATATAAGGGCGAGTTTGTCTTGTATTTCTTCAAAATTTTTATATAAAACTGTATTAAACTGTTTATACAAAAATATTGGAAATTTTATCTAGTTTTTAGTAAGCTAACTAAAAAAGTAAGTCCCCAACCAAATTTTTGAAGTATACAGAAAAACGTAAAAAAATGTTTCAAAACTTAGAGTAGAAAGTTAGAACAATATATAAGAACGAGTTTCAATTTCATTTATTTAATGAATTTTATATAGGACTGTGTCAAACTGTGTATACCAAAGTATTAGAAATTTTATCTAGTTTCTACTACGCCAACTATAAAAGTAGGTCCTCAAACAAATTTTTGAGTTATATAGAAAAATTTATCAAAACGTATGGAAAACTTAGTAGAACAATATTATATATAAAGGCGAGTTTGTCTTGGATTTATTCAAAAGTTTCATATAAGACTATAACAAACAGTTTATACAGATAAATAGTAAATTTTATCTACTTTCTGCTAAGCTAGATATGAGAGTAAGTCCTTGAACAAATTTTTGTAGTAAGGAAAACTTTGAACTTGTATGAAAAACTTAATAAGTGCGAGTTCGCCTTGAATTTATTCAAAAATTTTATATAAGACTGGATTTATCCAAAATTTTCCTATAAAACTATGTTAAGCTGTTTTTACAAAAACGTTGTAAATTTTATCTAGTTTCTGCTAAGCTAACTAGAAAAGTAAGCCCCCGAACAAATTTTTGAGGTATACAGAAAAATGTATAAAAACGTCCGAAAACCTTATATGAAAAACTTAGAACAATATATAAGGGCGAGTGTGCTTTGGATTAATTCAAAGAATTTATATAAGACTATATTAAACTAATTACAGGAAAATGTAGTAAATTTTATTTAGTTTGTGCTAAGCTAACTATAAAAGTAAGTCCTCAAACAAATTTTAGAGGGATACATAAAAATGTAAAAAAATGACCTGAAATTTCATATAGAGAACTTAGTAGAACAATATTATATATAAGGGCGAGTTTGTCTTGAATTTATTCAAAATTTTTATATAAGACTATATTAAATTGTTTTCAGGAAAACATAGTAAATTTTATCTAAATTCTGCTGAGCTAAATCAAAAATAATATTCTAGACAAAAATTTTGTGATATACAAAAAAATGATCAAAACGTCCCAAAACCTTGTATAAAAATGTTAAAACAACATATAAGGTCGTATTTCATTTATTCCAAAATTTTATATAGGGCTGTGTTAAATTGTTTATACACAAACATTGGAAATTTTATCTAGTTTCTACTAAACTAAGAATAAGAGTAAGTCCCCGAACAAATTTTTGAGGTATACAAAAAATATACAAAAAAGTCCCGGAACCTTGCATAAAAAACTTAGCATCATATACAAGACCAAATTTTATTTGTATCGGGAAGTTGTCTTTACCCACAAATACCACTAACACCTAGTTTAATTTTCTTTCAAGATTGGTAAGTACGACTCCGAAGTCCAGAGGCGTAGACGAGACCGTCGTCTGGCAAAAAGACTCGAAGCAGAGCAAAGGGTTGCCCATTTAAGAACAGGCCACAAATGCATTGTGGACGTCCCTGGAAAACCACTAAGAAAAGCCACCGTCATGTACAGGGGCGAAGTCACTGGTTTGAGAGGAAAACTGATCGGGGTCAAATATGAAGGACCATTGGGTAGGTTAAAGGACAACTTGGTAAAAGATAATTTAGTTTTATAAATTTGTGTCTATTATTTTAGGTAAAAATGATGGTTCGTTTGCTGGACGAAGATATTTTACGTGTCCAGAACTTCATGGTGCGTTTGTAGACCCTTGTTGTGTTCAATTGGAAAAGCCTGAAATCAGTTTCCAGAATGATGATGAAATTTGAGGGAAAATTTAAAGAAAATTTTTAATAAAATAAATTTACAAGTTTGAATTTTGACGGGTAGAAATTTTGAAGTTCAAGAGTGGGTTTTGAATAATTCCGAATTTATTGCTTTAATTTTTGGTCTAATTTGTGTTTTTTGTTCTAGTTGCTGGTGGTGACAAACAAAGTTCCAGTTTTTTTACGAAAATTTTAAATTTAATTTGTCAAAATTTTATCCATTTTTTTTTAAATTTATTTTTGTATTTGTACTAAATTTTTAATATATTTTTTGTATAAAATTTTGTTAATATTCGATTTGTATAATTTAATAAATATTAAAAAAAAATAAACCAGTGTTTTTATTCTTTGATTGTCGTATAGCAATAGCAAAAAATCGAAAATGACAATTTTTATATATCTTTATTTTTCAAAGGTTTCTGAACATTTTGGAATACCTTAAAATTAGAAAAAATGGATGCATCTCTGTGTGAGTGTGCGGATAGAAATTTACAGAAATTACATTAAAAAAATCGATTTCTATTGATGAGGAGAAGTCCTGTTTAGTTTTTGGAAAAGGGAGGTCCAGCCGTTTCGGAGATACGGAGCAAAAAATAACAAAAATTGCAATTCAGTTTTTGAGAGAATAGAGCGATTTTATTTCTATTGACGAAATGAAGAATTGATTATATTTTTCGGAAGGTAGGTCCAGCGGTTTCGGAGATCCAATAAAAAAGTGAAATAAAATGTCATTTTGCGGTCAAAAATAATCATTAGACACATGCACATCAAATTATCAGATACTTTATTAAGATTTTAATAAAAAGTATGAATTTTGTTCACATTTCATTGGGTTTCGTACGAATGCTTATTCGTTAAAACTGCGACGTGGCGCTTACGCGCTTCTACATTTCATCTCTACGTAGCTAAAATTCAATTGCTTTAAAAAAAGTTCAAAATTTTCAAAATATGATTTTTTTTTTCAAAAAAATCTATTTTTTTATTCAAAAATTTCAAAATTCTCAAAAACAAATTTTTTCAAAGTTTCAAAATTAAATATTTTATAGAAAACTTAATATTTGGCACGAAAGTTTCAACAATTTGCCTTTTCTAAAAAGTCTGTAAAAATTTTGAAAGGGACACTCGGATCGAATCCAGGCACTGACGTGGAATTGTCATTTGATTTCTTGGACAGAATGAATTTAAGTAGAATTTTAATTATTGATTTGAGATAGAATAGAATTAAAAAATAGAAAAAAGTTCTGCAAATATGTTAAAATACATACATTTTTGTAGTTTTTATTACAATTGATGTGTATTCAAAAATACAACATTTATTTCAATCCTCAATAATTTAAATATCGATATCATGAAAACAATTATGAAAAATTTACATATTAATATTAGTATTTTCATTTAATAATTTCTAATATTTTTATTAAATTTTCAAAGCATTTTATTCAATTAATATTATTTAGAAAGGAAGTCCAGGAGGTTAGAAAATAAAGAAGGATGAAAAAGTCAGCTGTACAGACATACTACATACACACACAAAAACACACGCATTCATTTTTTGTAATGTATGCCAAAATGTTCAGAAACATTTGAAACGTAGAGATATATACAAACTTTCATTTTTATTTCTTGCTATTACTACAACTTACCCTACGGGAAGTTAAAATAAAATTAAATTTGTTTAAAAAGTCATATTTTCAAAAATTTTATTTTTCCAAAGTTCATCTGTTAGACTGCGCCACGACGCTAACGCGTTTCTATATTTCGTCTTTAAAACAGCTACGCAAAGCGTTTGCTTTAAAAAAAAGTTCAAAATATTAAAAAAAATCTAATTTTCTAAAAAAAAACAGTTTTTACGAAAATTCTCAAAAATTTTATAACAAATTTCAATTTCAATAAAATGTTAATGCTTTTTTTTTTAAAATTAATTGTCGGTACGGAAGGTTCCAGCAATTTGCTTTAAGGCACAATGCTTTTATTTTTTCAATCTTTTTACCTCTTTCTAATTTCTCTCTCTCTCTTTGTCTCTTCTTCATAATTATTCTTTCTTTCTTTCTCTCTCTCCCTCTCTCTCTCTTGCTGTATGGGACAGATGCACTTCTATTTCTTCTAATAAGTTAAAATTTACCAAAATTCAAGTTTTATTGTTTTAAAAAAAATTAAATGAAAAGTTCCAGCAATTTTCCTTAAAACACTATGATTTTACCCTTTCTATTTTTCTATCTCTGTTTGTTTCTTTTAATCTATTTTCTTTCTCTATCCCTCTAGCTCTCTCTCTCTCTCTGTATAGGGCAGATGCACTTTCATTTCTTCTATTTAGTTAAAATTTACCAAAATGCAGTTGCATAAAATCACGATCGTAAAATTGTCGAAACGATAATAGGCCCTATAGGGTTTTCGTGGATCTCCTGGGGTCGTAAAACTAAGTTTTATCGCCTTTTTTTACGACTCGACCATTGTTCGACACTTCAGTCGAAAGAATGACCCAATCGTAGTTGCATTTATTCTATTTATACAGGCAATAATTAAAGGAACATGTGTTTAGGGTTCTGTAAAATAAAATACGACTGTGTGCAGAAATTGATAATAAAAATCCTATATTGTTTAGTTATATTATTTATATTGTTAATATTAATGAATTGAATTCTAGTGGTGTATGGCATCGTGCCTTAAGGCAGATTGCATAAGCCTCCCGTATTGAAAGTTAAAATATTTAAAAAAGTTAAAATTTCTTTGAGAACATAGATTTTCAAGAATTTTGAAATTTTTGAAATTTTTGAAAAAATTTAAAACAAAATTTTTAATATATTTTTACGTTTCAAAGCTTTCTGAACACTTTAGCATAACTTAGAAAAAATTGATGTATACCTTAGAAAAAATTGATGATTTCGAGATAGCGGATTAACCGATTTGGAGGAAAATTGCATACACCAAAAATAAAATTTAAAAAATTCATTTTTTTTAAAAAAACTTTGAAAAAAATAGATTTCTGATATTTTTGGAATTTTTGAAAAAAAATAACCTTAGATTTGTTTCATTTTGAAATATTTTGGAATTTTTCGAACTTTTTTCAAAGCAATAGCGTTGCTTTATCTGCGGTGAGACGAAATGTCAAAGCGCATAAGCGCCGCGTCGCAGTCTTAAGGATAAACAATGTTGCGAAATCCATGAAAATGTAAACAAAATTTTTACTCATTATTAAAATCTTTATAAAATATCTGATAATTTGATGTGCATATGACCAATGAACATTTTTGACAGCCAAATGACATTTTTTTAACTTATTTCAATTGAGAGTCCACAACCGCTGGACCTGCCTTTCCTAAAATTTAAACAGTGTTTTGTTTAGTCAATATGAATAAAATGTTTTTTGAATTATTCAAATCGGACGCTCCGTTCTCTTAAAAACTGAATTAACGTTTTCGGTACTTTTTGCCCCGTATCTTCGAAACAACTGGACCTGCCTTTGCTAAAAACTAATCAGCACGTCTCCTTATCAATAGGAATCGAATGTTTTTTGAATTATTCAAATCGCTTCATCCGTGTTCCCGAAATCGTCGGCTAAAATTTGTATCCGCACACACACACACATACATCCATTTTTTCTAAGGTATGCCAAAATGTTCAGAAGGTTTTGAAACGTAAAGATATATAAAATTTTTTTGGAGCTGTTTTGGAGATAAAATATAAAAGCGCGTAAGCGCCGCGTCATAGTCTAACAGATAAATACTGAAAAAAATTAATTTTTGAAAATGTTGTAATTTTTCGAAAAATTTGTTTTATTGACTACTTTAATTTTATTTTTAACTTCCCCTAGAGTAAGTTATAGTAATTGCAAAAAATGTAAAATGAAAATTTTTATATATCATTACGTTTTAAAGATTTCTGAACATTTTGGCAAACCTTAGAAAAAAATGATGTATGTGTGTGTTTGTATGTATTATGTATGTATGTACAACTGACTTTTTCATTCTTCTTTATCATCTAACCTTACTTATTTCAAACTTATAATTCTATTCTATCTCAAATCAATAATTAAAATTCTACTTAAATTCATTCAGCCCAAGAAATCAAATGACAATTTCACATCAGTGCCAGGATTCGAACCGAGTGTCCCTTTCACAATTTTTACAGACTTTTTTGAAAAGGCAAATTGCTGGAACTTCCGTACCAAATATTTATTTTTATAAAAAAGATTCATTTTTTTTAATATGATTTTTGTTTTTAAATTTTGATTTTTTAGAATTTTGAAATATTTCGGGAAATTAAAAACAAAAAAGAGAGAGAAAGAGGAGAGAGATATTAGGAAAGGGGTAGAAAGAGAAACAAGAACAAGAAAGGGAAACAAAAAGAGAGAGAAAAAGATAGTTAGTAAACTTAATGTTTAGAATCTATAACTATGCAATAATTTCTTAAAAAACGGCTTGACTAATCTTTGCTAAAACTTGCCATTTTTAACGGGCAAAATTGCATTTCCTATACAAAAAAAATAGTTATATTAAATTCAACAAACAAACTTTTATTTTAGAATTCTTTCCCTAATAAGCAGATGGTCAATCTTCCCTCTATGCAACCGCATCCCTCTGGCTCTACTTTATCATCCCTCAAAGGCAAATCCACTCAATTAAACTCAATAATTCCGATTATTTCCGTTTCCCTTTTAACAACAAAACAATCAGTCATCCGCTAATAAAAATATTAACCAGAAATCCAGGATATTCCCTAAAAAAATTCGGGCAGAAATCGTGAAATAATGTGAAAGGATCAGTTTTAACGCAAGAGCGGATTTGTGGCGTATGTCCAATTGTTATGGAACAAAAAATAACAAAAAAAAATCGGTAAAGGGAAATGTTGTGTTATAATCGGGTTAAACCGAAGACACAAATATAATAAAAATGTATAAAAAGTTCGGACGCGTGCCTTTCCCTAAAAGTTGATGTTTTTATCCCAAAAATGTAAGGGCAGTAGTAGGAACACAATGGTGGTAATTCCATAATGATAACTAGTGG